TGGAACTAAAGCACAAGCTTCTCATAACTATTAAATGTTTCCAGATGGATACCGGCTCTTTCCACCTCGTGGACACAGTATGGTTGGGTGCTCCCCCATGCAGCTTCCTAGATTAGACAAACACCAACATTAACATAAATCCTACACGTCCACCAGGGCAGATTTTTTCCAAGTGAGTGGCTGAAGCAGGCCTCTAGGGGGCTTATTAAAAATGATGAATGCAAAAATAATTCTTAAGCCTTCCATGTCTCCCTATTGCCTAAAGGATCAATCTCACATTCTTCAGGCATGACACTCAAGGCCGACAGGGCCCCTTCCTTCCTCTTTAACAGGCTCAGTCCTCTCCGTGCCTGGCTGAGCAACTCCCACTTCCTGAAGCTCCTCTGTCCCTGGGTCCTGTCCTTTCCTCACCAATCTTTCATTATTTTCCAACCTGCCAGTTTAATAAATTCAAGCCCCTTTGAGTCCCTGCCCCCACGGCCCAGTGTCATTCACCCTTGTGGCCTTCATGGTGCCCTTAACAGCAGAGGGTTTCGATAATGGCTGTGCAGTGGAGTCTCTTGGGAAGCTATAAAACAATGTTGATACCACCGCAGCCCAGTTGAATCAGAATGTAAGTGAAATGTATTTGCTTGTCATGGAACAGCTGTGGCAGCAGAAGTGCAGGGCTTTGGGACTGGGAATGGCTGGCCTGAATTCCCTTGACTTCTTTCCAGCCTTGTGAGCTTGGGCAAAGTCCCTGAACTCTCTGTTTCTGATTCTTAACCTTGAATAAGTCCTCTACCTGCCGCAGACCTCGGCTTCCTTATCTTTAAAGTGGGAATTCTGATCCAAGCCTCCACACAACACTGGCACAGGTTTACTGTGAAGAACAAATTTGCATTTGTTCCTTTTCTCAACAAACATGAGTGGTTGCCCCCAAGCAGTATTTTGAGTTTTAGAAACTGAACAGTAAGCAAGAGAAACAAATGGAGCCTGCATTCTAGAAATGCACATGAAGTTTCCTTATTTAAAACACCATGAAGGGCTCTATAAATATTAGGTACTATTATTATTTATTACCAACTTCCTCTCATCTAACTCTGGGCTAATTAAATTGTCTCCACTAATCTACTTAAACTAATTGTATATTGTTTTCTTTCACAGCCAGGCTTCATTTGTCTCACCAGAACTGCATATTCAGGATTCTTGATATTACATCTCAAAGAACAAACCATAAATTTATGAATCACTAACATATTCTTTTGGAAGTTCCTATTGTTTGGTTTTTTTGTTAGAACCTAGGTGAGCACATGAGCGATTTAGGTTCCTCCATTTCTGTGGACTCTATGACTCCAGGACATGGAACCACCTGCAGAAGTGGCCTGATGACATTGCCAGGAGTCCTCAGCCCCAGCCTCTGGGAAGCCTGAAAGGTGGTTTGAGTTTTTTCCACACATTTCAAAAGGCATATTTATGTTTTAAGTGTATGCATAAATGGACAAAGAAGGAGAGAAACTGCTGGTGAGAAAGAAACCCAAAGCATTCTGGTTCCAAGAGTCCAGCATGATTCTGGTCACTTTCCACTGCTGATGAGCTGGTTAGACTCGGGTGATAACTCCTCTGAGGTTAGAGAGTTTCCTAGAATCTACTTGGTCCTTATCCATCCATCCCACCATGTAAAGGTCATGTCCATTGTGACTTCTAAAGTTGCAGGGCAGCTCTGAAAGCACTCCTATCCACTCTTCATCTTCCTTTTGGGTTAGTTGTTGGCTATAACAATGTTTTATTAACTTATTTTTATTATAAATAACTCACATACTAGAAAATGCACCTTGTTAAGTGTATGATTCAGTAGCTGCAGTGTATTCACAAGAAGGCACACACACACCCCCGCTTTTTGTTTGTTTGTTTGTTTTCCTATCTCCCATCCATCCAGGAGAAAGAGTTAAACCCTTAGTTATTGATCCAACATGTATTTACTAAGAACCTAAAAAAAATCAAATAAATATCCCTGCTCCTGGTAGGGACAAAACAGTGGACAAGTAAAATAAGTAAATTATAGAGTATGTTGGAGGTGATGAATGACATGGAGAAATAGATAGTGGGAAAGGATAGGATATACCTGTTGGTGGCAGGCAAGAGGGTGATTATGACTTTAAGTTGGGTGATTAGGGGATATCTCATAAGAAGGTAATATTAAAAAAAGGACTGGAAAGAAATGAGGGAGCAAGTCGTAACTCATCTGGGAAAACAACATCCAGGCAGAGGCAAACAGTAGTACTACAATAAACTCAGAAACCTGAGGTCAGAGGCATGTTCTAGAAATGGCCAAGAGGCCAGGGTGGCTGGGGCTTAATAGGTGATAGGAACAACAAAGGGAAAGGAGCTCAGAAGGATTGATGGTCTCCAAATCAAGTAGGGTCTGGTGCTGTCTGTAAAGACTTTGACTTTTCTTCCTAGTAAGGTGGGTAGGCATGTAGCGTTCTCAGCAGAAGATGCTGCGACTGGCCTGGGGAGGGCAAATGAAGGAGGAAACCTAATGAGGAGGCTAATAGCAATGATCCAGGTGGCCAGGTTGTGGCCTGGAGCAGGTAAAGAGGATGGAAAATTGTCATGTTATGGATAGGGTATGAATAGACGTAGAGCAGCAGGCTTGGTGGTCCAGAAGACATGAGTGGGGCGGGGGGAGAGAGAAAGAGAGAGAGGGAGAGAGAGAGGAGGCAGAATGCCTCAGGGGAAATCTGTAGTGCTGTGTGCACTGGGGCTGACTACGGGGACCAATAGGGGAGCTAGCATTCTGCATCTATCTGATAGGAAAGTGGGACCTATGGACCTGGAGACATGTACCTTGTTCAGGAGTTTCTCAAATTAATAAAAGGGAAACATAACTTGTTATCACACTGTTTCCAAAAATATAACCCAGCTGTTTAAGCATCAAATTGCCAAATAGAATGTTTATATGATTTTATTTTTTATTGTGTAACTAAAGATCATTACTGGTCTATTACTTAACCTGTGGTTAACTATCATAACAGGCAAAGGTAACACATTGCAGTTGTCACTTGCAGTGAACAAAGTGATCCAATGTTGTTTGGGTGTTTGGGGGGTTTTTTAGATATTTTTTTAGTTGTCAATGGACCTTTTAATTTATTTATTTATATGCAGTGCTGAGAATCAAACCCAGTGCCTCACACATGCTAGGCAAGCACACTACCACTGAGCCACAACCCCAGCCCCTGTTTGGGTGTTTCTTTATGCTTAACTTAATCATTTGTAATAAACCTTTCATACACTTAACAGTTTTATTTAAGTTCCTTGCATCAGGTACTTATAATAGTACTTCAGCTGTAATCTATCAATTGCTTTTAGCTAATGAACCCTTCATAGCACCTCCTCTAAATATTGGATGTAAGCTTATATTGGACCTAGCTAGGACCAGATTGTACTCACCTCTTTCCAAACCTCCCACTCAATAGGTATCCCTTTAGTGGCTTCAAAATCAGTCATTGTAGGAGGTTTTACACCACAACAAAATGTGCAAACTGTACAAATCAGGGCTTTTAAAAAATTTCTTTTCAGAGTGAATTCACCAGCACACCAGCAGGCAAAACAGAGTGTAAGTCTGTGAAAGTCAGCTTTAGGCCACACAGCAGTGACACTGGGGGAGGGGCTATAGTCATCAATAGTGTTTAAAATCACTAGTTCACAAAGTTAATAGAAAGCAGATCAACTTTAAGTCATTGGAGTCTCTGCAATGTTCTCCCTTTTCATCTGTGTCCAGGGAAGACCCCTCCCACCTACTCCCACTCCTGTTCCAGTCCCACTTACTGCCATGTACCATGGTTATGTCATTTAACTTCTTTAAGTCTTAGTTTCCTCATCTATTCAATGAGGATCATCAAGATAATATAGCGTGCATACTACATGCTCAATTAATGGTAATGTTCGTAACCCTTGGAGGGTTTCCTTACAGCCTTAACTGAAGGGGAATCAATTATAAATCAATGGCATCTTCACATCCACTGTGCTTTCCAACCCCTGGGACTCTCTAGATGTTTGTTCCCCATTTGGTGCCTCTTCTCCCTATTTCTGAATATTTAAACTCTACTAATTCTTCCCAGTCCAGCCAATTTTTACACCTCCATGAGGCTTTCTCTTGTTCTCCTGCTTGACATACTCTGTCCCTTCTTTAAAATTCTTGGCCCCTTGGGGCATCTCTAGCAGGGCCCCAGATCTACTGGATCAGAGTCTGCATTTTACTAAGATCACCACATGATTAGTATACACATCAAGATAAGCCATACTCTGACATGCTGGTTCCTGAACTTGGCTGAAGATTGAAATTATCTGAGTTTTTTAAAAGTATAATGCCTAGACCTCAAGGGATTCTGATTCCATTGGTCTGGATGCTGCCTGTGATTTTTAAAAATTCCCAGATGATGCTAATATTCAGCAAAGTGTGAGAACCACTGCTCTATAAACTTTCCCTCTCAACTCCTTATGGGACCTTAAAACTCTTTTCTACTTTCTAATGTTGCTATTATTTTTGTCCATGTATGTTTTTCCATCTCTATTAAAACTGTAGGTCTTTTAAGAGTGAGAACTGTTTTTTAATTCAATTTTATCACCTTCTTCCTAACAAAACTTAGCCCTATAATAGAAGCTTAATAAATATTTATTGAATGAATGATTTATTTGTAATCTAAAAATGTTCTCTCAACACCATAAATGTGGCTATGGTCCACATTTGGAGACTGGTTAAACACTCTCAAAAGTGCAAAGTTGTTTCCTCTTCACTTCTATGTAAAGACCAAATGTCTGAAGAATCAGAGGCTGGTGGCTGGGCTGGGTCTTCCCTGGGTACCAGAACCACCACTGCGGGAGCTGCGTATGGAGAGCCCAAGCATGGAATTCTAAGACTCCGGAGCTGATGCACAATGACACAGCCTATCCCCGCATGCTTCCAATTCAGGACTCCTGGCTGAAACATGATGATGTTACTGTTTCTTTCTCCCCAGGGTGCCATTTTGATATTTATGGGGATTGTTGTTCTCACTATGAAGGCATCTGTTATTGAAATGTTCCTTGGTAAGTACTTTTATATGTGTATCTGGATACTCTTTTAACATTTTCCTAAGGTCCAAAGAATTTGGCCAAGAAAAGTCTTAAAGCAAGACAGAACACATTAACAATCACTATTTCTTTGTATGATAAACATCGTGGAGAAAAGTTTAAGTGGCAAAGTTAAAAATAGATCAAATTCAGGATGCACGTGTATCTACATTTTTATATAAAACAAATATTTATTGCATATGTATTTCCATATATTATATATTATGCACACATGTCTTTATGTGTATTTTTCAGCAATGGATAAATATTTTGGATATAGCATATTTACAGATTCTGATTTAGGGGTCTTCTTTTTTCTTAATTTCTCAAAAAAAGAAATTGTTATCATTGATTTGGCTTCACTTGTATCATTGGAGACTCAGCCTGAGATGAAACCGTTTAATTGTATTATCACCAGAGGGTACAATTTTGAATTGGTTTTTCAAGGAACAGCAGGGCTACTAGGATAGGGAAACTGCTAATGGGCTTAGGATCAAGCCCTTGGGTAATAATCTGTTAAATTTGACCCCATTGTCTATTGCCCTGTCAGATAAAGTGACCCTGTCAGCATTGTGAAACTCTTGCCAGGACAAGGCACAAAGGTCTTTTGGATAGCCTGTTTCAGTTTGCTAGAGCTGCTGTAACAAAATAACTGCAACTGTGTGACTCAGAACAACAAAAATCTATTCTCTCTCAGTTCAGAAGACTACAAAATCAAAATCAAGGTCTCAGCAAGGTTGGTTCTTTAGAGAGTCATGAATGATAAATCTGTTCCATGACTATCTTCTAGCTTCTAGTAGTTTACTGGAAATCTTTGGAATTCTTTGGTTCCTAGATGTATCATTTCAGTCTCTACCTTCCTCTTCCCATAATGTCCTTCCTGTGTGCAGGTCTATCTCCCAATTTCCCTCTGTATAATGATACCAGTCATACTAGATCGGGGGCCCAACTCTACTCCAGTATGACTTCATCTTAGCTAATCACCTCTACTGTGAGCCTATGTCTGAATTAGGTCACATGCTAAGTACTTGGTGGTTAGGACTTCAACATATAAATTGGATTGAGGGAACAAAGTTGAATCCATAATACAATGAGAATGTTCAAGGTCTATTCATAGGGAGTCTACAAGGTAGAATTGGGCACAGGATGAGATGGAGGTTGCACCACTGAGAAGGGAAGAGAGATTTCAGCATGACAGAATGCGTACTGAACTGGAAATCAGAGGGAGGGTACAGGTTTGAGTCCTGGCTCCAACATGACCTTGCTAATAATGTTGGCAAGCCACCCTTCCTATCAAGCCTCCTGTTTCTTCTTCTATAAATCATATAGTTGAGGGGCTGGGGTTGTAGCTCCGTGGTAGAGCACTTGCTTGCACATGTGAGGCACTGAGTTCGATCCTCAGCACCACATAAAAATAGATAAAGATATTGTGTCCATATCAAAAAAGATCTTTAAAAAAATATAAATAAATAAATTATATAGTTGAGCTGTTAATTATCCAGCTCTATATAAAATGGCTGCCCGGGAGCTGGTTCAGCTTTGTCAAGATTGCTTGACCTAGCTAGGCCACACTCTCCTGGAGCCAAAAATAAGGACACTCCTTATCCTCAGTGGCACTATCCTGTTTCCTGTCAGATGGTTGTGAGAAGCCCTGAAGAAGTTTCTTGGTACTTGACCAGGAGCCCTACCCCAACCATAGCAGTTGTCCTCAGCTGGGCAGGGTCCAGGGACCAACCATCCCACTCTACCTCCACAATCATCTTATGTGCCTGGCTTGCTTTAGCAAATAAGAGAACACTCATCTTGGAAGCGGCCCTTCATTCCCACCTTGCTCTTTTGAGAAGCTTCCTTCCTTCTTAGACTATCATAGGTCAGTAGATTCCTAACGTAAGAGTGGGGGCTGGGCAAGGGGTTGGGAATAGGAAGAATTTAGTGAAACAAAACAAACCAACCTTAGAGTTATGCCATGTTCCCCAGCATCACAGAACAAAGAAGGGAGACCTGATTATCCTTTGTTCTCAGCCTTTTTCGGACTATACTTCTGCAAAACTCATTCATATAGGAGTGCTCATTCATATAGCAGGAAATCAATGTAGAAAAAGGAGACTCCTATACTTCAACACAATAAGGCATGTATGAAAAGCCCACAGACAACAGCATACTAGAAAGTAAAAGCCCCAAACTTTCCCTCTAAAATCAAGAATAGGACAAGACGGGGCTGGGGATGTGGCTCAAGCGGTAGCGCTCTCGCCTGGCATGCATGCAGCCCAGGTTCGATCCTCAGTATCACATACAAACAAAGATGTTGTGTCCGCCAAAAACTAAAAAGTAAACATTAAAAAATTCTCTCTCTCTCTCTCTCTCTCTCTCTCTCTCACTCTCTCTTAAAAAAAAAAAAAGAATAGGACAAGATGCCCCACTCTTACCACTTCCATTAAACATAGTACTAAGTCTTTTTTTTTTTAAGAGAGAGAGAGAGAGAGAGAATTTTTTAATATTTATTTTAGTTTTTGGCAGACACAACATCTTTGTTGGTATGTGGTGCTGAGGATTGAACCCCGGGCTGCAGGCATGCCAGGCGAGCGCGCTACCGCTTGAGCCACATCCCCAGCCCAGTACTGTCTTTTCCAGAATAATTGAGCAAGAAATAAAAATAAAAGTTATCCAATTTGGAAAGGGAAACGCCAAATTGTCTCTGTGTACATATAACATAACAACATATAAAGGAAATCTTGAAGACTACACCAAAAGCTATTAGAACTAATTCAGCAAAGTTACAGGATACAGAATCAACACACACACAAAAATAAGTAGCACCTCTAAATACAAACAATAGTGTATCTTTAAAAAAAGTTTCATTTACAATATCATCAAGCAAAAAAATAATCTTCAGAATAAATTTAACTCTGAAAGTAAAAGATCTGTACATCAAAAACTGCACAACGTTAATGAAAAAAATGAAAAGGACACAAATTAATAGAAAGATAACCCATGTTCATGGATTGGAAGACTCAACATTGTTAAAATGTCCATATTATACTAAGTAATCTACAGATTTGATAAAAATCTCTATAAAAATTCCAATGGTATTTTTCCCAGAAATAGAAAAAAATCCTCAAATTTGTTGAAACCACAAAAGATCTCAAATAAACAAAGCAATTCTGAACAAAAGGAACAAAACTGAAGGCATCACAATGCCTGATTTCAAAATACACTTTAAATCTATACAAATTAAAACAGCATGGTACTGGCAATTAAAAAAAAAAAGACATCTAAACCAGTGGAACAGAATAGACAGCCCAGAAATAAATTTACACATTTCTAGTCAATTGATTTTTAACAAGGATGCCAAGAACACACTAGGAAAAGAATTTCCCTTGAATAAACAGTGTTGGGAAAATAAGACACTCAAAGGAATGAAATTAGATTCTCATATTAAAAAAAATCAAAATTGACTAAAGACTTAAATATAAGGCCTAAAACTATAAAACTACTAAAAGCATTCTGTACAGTGATTTTTTTAACATGACCCTAAAAGAAAAGGCAATAAAAGTAAAACTAACATATGGGATCACATAAACTAAAAAAGTTTCTTCATAGCAAAGGAAACAGTCAACAGAGGGTAAAGACGACCTGTGGAATAGGAGAAAATATTTTTAAAATATACACCTAAGAAAGGGTTATTATCCAAAATATAGAAGGATCTCACACTCTCATACAATTTAGCAGAAAACAACCTAATTTTAAAAGTAGGCAAAGGCCCTGAATAGACATTTCTCAAAAGAAGATATATGAATGGTCAACAGATAAATGAAAAAGAGTTTTATATCAAATTAAATTAAAGACAGAACTACTATATAGTCCAGCAATCCTACTTCTGAGTATACATCCAAAAGAAGCAAAATCTATAGGTTGAAAGTATATCTGCACTTCTTTATCACTGCATCATTATTCATGATAGCCAAGATATGGAATCAACAGTCCATTGATGGATGAATATATAAATAAAATGTTATGTACATATAAAATGGAATATTATTCAGCCTTAAAAAATAAGGAATACTGCCTCCTGATCACAGTATTAATCTTCCTACAGCCTGTATTTTATTTGTGGCATGAATGAAATTGGAGACATTATACTAAGTGAAATAAGTCAGACATAGAAAGGCAAGTACCATATGATCTCACATACAGAATCTAAAAAAGTCAAACTCGTAGAAAAAGAGTAGAACGCTGGTTGTCAGGGCCCAGGAGAATGGAGAAATGGGTAAGTGTTTGTCAATTATGAGGCCAAAACGTTAAGGAGTCTAAGGTACAGCATGGTGACCAGAGTGTATAATACTGGGTTGTCGACTTGAAGTTAGCTGAGAAAGCAGATCTGAAATGTTCTCACCACACACACAAAAGTATGTATGTGAAGTGATGGAGAGGTTAATCAGCTTGATTTAATCATGTCACAAGATGTACGTGTGTCAAAACATCAGGCAGTACACCACAACTTTTTGTCAATTACACCTTAATAAAGCTGGGTAGGAAATGATAAATAACTCCATTGATTAAAAAAAAAAAAAAAAGGGAACTCCTGTTCACAGATTTCTCTAAGTCCTCCAATGTCTGCATCCTGGGCAACTCCCTCCTCAGCCCACTGGTCAGGGCCATTTCCTTGAGTCCCTCATGACTTCCACCCCTGGTAGGTACTATGACTGCTTCCCTGACTCTGATCCTTATACCTCCAACTCATTCTCCAGGATACATGTGTTCATCTCCCTAAAGTCCGTGTCTGATCACCACTCTCTTGATTTAAACTCCTCAGAGTTTTGCCTTGGTCTTTAGGATGGAGTCCAAGTTTCTGGCTCTTACTGTCCTCCCCTGCTCTCCTCTCTCACTAGCCCCTCCCGGGCACTGACCTCCTAATCTCCCCGGGGGCTGCATCATTCTCATCTTTAGGCCTTTGAACACGCTGTTCCCTTTTCAGG